TATTCCTTTAAAATATAACAAATCAAGCGGGCCTGATAAGTAGCTACCATTCGTCGGCTCCATAATATCATGTACTTTGTTTTTTTATTTTTTTTTTGCATTCCAGCGAGTCCTTCCATTAATATTTAATGAGCCTACCAACGACCAACGGACAAATCCGTCACTGTTTAGGAATACAGATTTGGTTAAACTAGGATATTCGGATATTACTAACTGCTACTAATTGCATAACTGCTACTAATTAAATAAACTACTTATTTTGTAGTATTTTCTAAATAATTGAATGGGGAACGTCACAGTTGTTTTCTCTGGAGATTTTCAAAACCCTTCCTATCATTACTCAGGGGACTAAAACGAAGAAATAAATGCCTCACAGAAGCGTTCTTATCTCTGGCCACAAAAACATAAGTTACGGTTGACAGTTAACGTGCGGACTCCGTTTACATGCCCAAGAATCTTCCGATGTACTGTTAAAATTTGAGAAGGCAGAAAGGATATCCTTTCAGAGAAAAAAGGGGAGGTGTGTCTTCCGGACATACTTGGTACAGTGGTTTTCTCCGAAAACAAACTGATAACTTCATTATTTGGAGAACTTTCAAGTGTTCACATAACCAAGCATTTTTCTGGTATCAGGATAGTTCTTAGTTATGTGAACGCATTCTGCTCACTGCAGGCAATGACCAAGCCACAAATTAGCCGGTTGAGTTTTTAAGTTCGCTTAATGCAAATGGTCTTTCTGCATATAGAATCCCGCGCAATGTCGGTGTAAAATTGTGCAATGGCGGATTCCATTTTCAACTTCATATAAACTTAACTTCATATAATAGTAAATTTTCTACAAAGGCATTCAAGCTGAGATCGTCACTGAGTGTGGCTCAGACAAAATTGTGTTTATTTCGCGAATACCACTCGCCTGATAACTGACCATGGCGCAGTTGTCAAGGTATTGCCTTCGGCGTGGCTTCGATTCTCACACGGGACAAATTATTTCTGTGATCCATAGTAATTATTTCCCAGAAGGCAAAACTGATGTTTTTCTGTTGACGCTATAACAACAAATAAAAAAAAATCTGAATAATTATTTTAAGTGGGGTGGGTTCTCATACTACAGACATTATTTTTTTGCCGTTTTTATAGATTATGGTATGGAACCCTTCGTGCACGATTGCGAATCGCATGTATGTATTCTAACAATCATCATCATTTTACAGACCATAATATAATTATAGTTAACTATAGTTTCATCCAATTCAGGTGTAGCTATTACTTTTTTTTTACCGACCGATTTGAATAAAACTAACACTAAATGTAAAGTGAAGTACTATAATGCATTAGTTAAAGTTGCACCCAAATCGGTTAAGCCGTTTCTGAAATTAGCACGCATAAAAGCACAGATACACAGACAACAATTTTTACAACCATTGTTTTGGGTTCTATTGCGTTGATAAAGTGGACCTTTAATAATAGTTTTTCTCAAATGTCTTTCATGTACAGACAAAGACAAGTTACATTTTTATTATATGTATAGACATCTGTCTGTATGTGTCTGAATTTTTCGCTTCCACCCTATTCCACGCGGACGTAGTCGCGGGCAACAGCTAGTTTAAAATAACATAAATTTTGAAAAGGACTTAAAGTATTAAAAGAATGTATTATAATGTAAGGTAGCTAAGATAAACATGCATAACAAATCATTACCTTTCGAACTAGGCAGGTATATATACCTGCCTACTTCAAAAGGTTTGAATATATTGAAATACAATTTTGCCGTTTTGGTTTAAGTGTTACCCGAACCACTTAATTTGTATTTAGTACACGTACATCATAACTTTATTTTTTTTTTACAAACGCCAATATATTTTGCTGTTGCCTAAAAATCGCCAAAATGAACGTACTTAGACAGCAATTACATAGCTAAAGCCTGACCAAACCTTGAATGTTGTGGAAAACCGTATTAACATGTACTAACTTCTTTCACCAATCATAGTAGTAGGTAATAAAGAAAACTAACGTGGGAATGAGTTGCTTTAATTAAATATGACGATGTTCAACGAGTAAGGAGAGCACAAATAAAAAATTACTCGAAACGCGTGCAAGTAATTGTACTGATAAGTGTGAACGCGTCAAAGACCCAAAGGAGTCAATAAAATCAACAATACGGCCTTTGTCCGAGAGTCGGGTTGGACGTGAAAATAAGAATAAAAAATAATCGCTACCCGATTACGCGTTGCGCAATCGTCCGTGACGGCGGCAAACATTGCGCGGCGCAAACGGCACGCTCTAAACGTTAACCGCACAGTGGGGGCAATGTAAACAGCTATAGGCGATGGCGCGATTTAACGCCGCCAGCTTCGCACCGCGGCGTTGGGAGGCGCGGTCGGCCCGCAAATTGGCGCGCGCTCACGAGCGCCATTAATTCATTCGAAAGTGTCCGAGAGACGTTTCGCGGGAAATGCGTGCGTCGACCTCGATACACAAAGACGTGCGTGTTTTATGGGCCAAGTGATTATGGCTTACGCTTATTAATTATGTCATTAATACGCCTACGGAGAGCGCGGCGGGCGGTTCGCACCAAATGGGACTGCGATGACGATGGAATTACAATTCGTATTCGATTTCGGACCATTACACGGCATTGTGTTTCACAATATCCAACTCAATTCAGTTTGATTTCAACCGCTTAAGGGAGCAAATAATAATTTGGTATAAAAAAGCAAACAACGGACCTAAAGAAAACCGTTGGCCGCTCGCGTGGATGCGCGACAGGGATGCCGATAAGGCGGAGAAAAACACGCGGCGCGAGGTCAACGGCCGTGCGTACATTACTTTGCGTTTGCCTACTTTGCGATAACGTTCGCGAAACGCGCGACGTCCCACTTCGGGCCGCGCCACGTTCTGCGATCCGCTTTACACGTGTCGAAAACGCTTGAATGAAGTCACACGAATGGAACGAATGAAAGGACGGAGCTATATTCTATTACAAATACGAATGGAACAAGTGCGGTCAAAACTTACACCGATGAATTACCTTTTTGACCTTTCGACCTGTATTCAATCAACCATCGATCAAGTACGATTAAATACGGTCTGTTAAACAATAAACCGCATCTAATGAAGTGAAAAACTACAGGCTTGTAACGGTATATTAATAAAATAAAAAAAGACTACACTAACTACATGTAAGTATGTCATCTATACTCCATGCCACCAATGTAATACAAGAAGCAAATAAAAAATATAAACATAGGACACTATTAACTCACATAAAAGTATGCTTCAAGACTGAGAGCGGTCTGCGTGACTCTTAGTGTGGAATTGAAAAAATTGTACCAAACAAAATGGATGAGATGGCGTCTTACAAAAAAAATAACGATCAATTTATCTTATTCAGTAATGCTTCGCGCGGAATAAAAACAACACATTATCGTACCATTGATGTCACAAGTGAGGAAATTGGGACAGTGTTCTTCATATCTCATGCGGCGACTTGCCGCTTGTAGGGCTGTGTGACGGCATGAAGATTTTGAATGCGAGTGATATTACTGTGATCAATCATCACTCAATACGATAAAAAGTTACTTTCACTCACGCTTAAAAGACGCAATGGAGTGTAGATGGGAGAGTGTCTCATTTGGTATGCATAGGTGACGGATGAATAGATTCTGTTCACAATGAACGTTGTAACGGGGTCTGGCCGAGTCTTTGGCAAATTGAAAGCGCTCCAACAGGCGGCCCAGGAATAAGAGAGTGTCCTTCTAGGGTTGATACGCGCATCAGGTGCTCAGACGTCATTCACAGTTTTACCCACTTCCAGTAAATATCAGGGGGCGAAGCTTACACAGTCTTCTTTATAACTACCACTGTCATTTAATACAAATGCCTAAAAACGAAAACCAAAACTGTTGATACTCAGGTAGGCTTAAAATAAGACTATTATTTATTATACTTGTCCCATATTATACTGTAAACTGATATTTTAAAATAAAGAGCAACTGTTGAGTTTCTTGCCGGTCGAGAAGAATCTCAAAGAAACTGCTTGCCGAACCACTAGTAACTTAGGAACGTGTTAATTTCTATGTAAAAGGTTTTATAAGAGCGCGCAAGGGTCTATATAAATAAACATTTTTGAATTAGAATTTCCGATATCAATCGGCTGAGATGGAGGATGTTGTAAGGTTAAATTTTGGCGAAAGACTCTTAAAAAACCGTGAGTAAATTCGAACTTGCAATTTAGGAAATATGTAGTATGTGATTTTTCACACGTCGGAACTAACTTAAGGACACTTTATTTCAGCATGGACAGCAAGCTATGACCCAATACCGCCTACATAACATGTTCATACAACAAACCGGTTACGCACCGTTATGAGCAACAAAAGCAAATATTTTTTAATTTAACATTTATTATTTTTAAATTCTCAGAGTAATTTTAAACTAAATTAAAATTTAAAATGTACCCATGAAAGAAAATAAGTACCAAAATTGTCGTCAAGTGACGTGTTTTATATATCTATCTTTAATCACTTTTCGGTAAGCAGTCAAATGCTATAATAACGAAATAGAATCAACGTGAAATATGTTTATATATTATTTTATATAAGATCGTCATAATCAATTGCCAAGTCATTTTCGAACCGCCGTAGTGCAAACGTCTATAACTGCATCTTAACAGTTATATTGTTTATTAAAACTTATAAAACTTATAAAATAATAAAGTAACGCCTGTTCTAATTTCAGTTCTAAGTTGTTTTTAACTGTACTTGATGTGTTTGCTTCCAATCGGTGAAGAGTCGAGATCAGGTTACGAATAAGGACTCCATGTAACTCTATGTACATAATATATCATATCTCTGAATGTGCACGCATGCATTTAATCAATATAAATTTAAAAGGCAAAGACAACACAAAATGTTAATTAGAAACTCAATTAAACAACGCCCTTGAAACCGCTCGTGCTTTAAAGCCTAACCATGCTAGAGATTTCTTCCGAGAACCGTTCAGGGTAAACGATCAACGGAGGGGACGCCAGCCTTGCCGTAGGTCGGTGCAGCGGCGCTCGCAGTCGAGCTCTGCCCTCGGAAGGCCAGCACCGACAACCGTCGGCGTTCACATCGAATTTGCAAAAATACAAAGCCGCCCCGTTCTCTTACACCGTACACGCTTCCTGTGCCGCTCCCGCTCCCGGTCCCGGCGCTTTGTCCCACCCCGCAGATGCACATTTCGGCTAATCCAATGAGCGCGCCATTCGCTTTGTACCGTGTACGTTTCGCTGCAGCACTCGCTTGGTGCATTATTTTTGAGTGGAGAATACGAAATAGTGAAAGGCGTTTTTGCCCTCTGAACATAATATAAGTTATATAGCGTAGGTTTAAGCAATTTAATACGAAGAAAAAATGTCTGTGCACTAATGTTAAACAAGCCTAGGTCTCTAAATTAAAGTGTGAAAACTAGACAACTACGAGCTATGAATGGGAATGTCAACTATTACCTATAACAAAAGCATGTGAATATTCGAATAGATATTGGACAATGGCAATACACATAGATAGGGCAAGTCATAAATACCGAATGCATTACATTAACGTCGGAAGCGAGTCGCAGACAGTGCCATATAGTAATAATGTACGTTATAGCTATAGGTGAGCGGTGCACAATCGCTATGCGAAACAATTCAACGTAGCTGGAATTATCGATTTTATGTTCCTCTTTGTTATGCTGTCAATTTGCTGTCGGGTTACAGTTGAGCTATGCCGTGGACGCACGCCTCAGCGGGCCGATATGTTCGGGGCGAACGCAACGAGTCGTCGATTCATATTCGAGCGAATAAGGAAGATCTTTAGAACAGGATGGTCTATGAAGCTAGTACTAGTGTTAACAATTCGTTATCGTAGATTTAGATTATTTATTAATTTAACTTTTTTATAACTTTTGTTTTAACACCGTTTACCATTTTACCCAAACATCGACTTAAATAGCATATAATTTCTGAGATAAACAATATAGGAGCTTTTGTTCCTGTGATAACTATAACTTTTTCCGATGAGAGTCCTCTTTCAATTTATATTGAATTTTACCTCGTATGGGCATAGCGACACATGTAGTCCATGAATTATGAAGATAAGAAAAGATATTATTAAAGAAAGAGAAATTAAGAACTAGCTGACCCAGCAAACAGTTGTTTTGCCATACAAATTATTTCTAGGGAATTTGTGAATCTGAACACATAGAAAAAGAATCTTCGGAACGCACCCAAAAAATGTTTGACAGGTAGGAACAGTTTGTATGGGAAAATAAAATTGTTGGTATTCTGATTTTCCGTGTAATTTTTCCATAATTTATCATCGTTTAAACCTTCCCTGGACTGCCACAAATATTTCAAAACCAAAATAAGCCAAATCGTTCCAGCCGTTCTCCAGTTTTAGCGAGACTAACGAACAGCCATCCATTTTTATATATAAGAAGATATAGACATATTATTAATTTCCTACTGCCAGTATCAAAAATATTAATTCACTGAATGGCGTTTAGAATGCTAATGTCGGATTGTTAACCGAATTATGCATGCGCATATTTTTTTAACGTGATAAAGTGACAAACGAGCTGGTGGGTCAGCTGATGTTAAGTTACCACCCATGGACATTTGTAACACTCGTAGCTTTACCTATGTGTTGACACCTCTTAATAAAGTGGGCAGCGGCTACCTCCCTCACCAGACGAAACGCAGAAGTGTAACACCTCTTCACGCCGGTCTTCTGTGAGGTCGAACCCGGACGGAACGGCCCATTCGTGCAACGGCGCACACTGTTGCGTGGCCCGACATATGCAGCTTTGTAAATATTCATTCACAAACCGGCATATAATATGAGCCCTGAGCACGTAATAAGTCCACAAACAAACTTCTATAAAACAACGTATATGTTATTGCATAAGTACCATATTATGAACAAATATGATTTAACAAGGTAATCTTATCTTAACCAAAGACATCGGTTAAGTTTTTTACTTTACGCTTCTTAATTTCATTAATGAAGAACCGATGATATTTTGTGTTGTTGTGTGACTGCGCTATAAATTACCAATAGAGTTATAATCATAAACAAATGCTACCTATGTGCACATAATATATACCTACATATAGTGTTATACTTATAGGTCAATATATATATTATTACAAAAAGTCAAGTTTTTGTAGTAGAGAAGTTCAACACGGCGGTATTAAGTTTTTATTGTTCGCTGTCTTCTTTTGAGCCATAATTCTTGATAAAAATACGAATTCTCGCATCAAAAACTGACTGACAGTGCTTTACGCCATACATTTGTGCTGTAAACTCTTGAACAGCATTAATTTTTTCATCGATGAAAATATCAGCTGGATCAATTAATGACGCAAAAATCTATTGATACCTTTCATTTTTAGAAAATATTTTACATGGTCTAACCTTTCCTTCATATTGTAGAAAGCCGCAGTGTAATCACAAGCTGTGAATGCATGATGAGCAGGCAAAAGTCTACCACATATTTTGGGTCCCAACTTTAATGCCAAATCGATGCAGTTAATGCAATCGAGGTGGTTCGATTGCTTCTTAGTCGCTGAAGTAGCTAGAAAAATTGCAGACTCGGATAGTTTGTGCATATTTCCGAGTAAAATTATGAGAACATTAGTATCAGAAATTTAATTTAAATCTTTAAAATTCGGAAACCTTTGTTAGGATCGAATTTTTCGCAGACAACCCACATATCAACGTATTGCCAATAAAGCAGCGCTTATGTTGATATATTTTTTTTCTATTATCCAATCAGTGAAAGTAACTGATACCTGTTTACACCTGGCAACCCAGTAGTTCGTCCAGGTAAATAATAGACAACCCAACGGTTGTACATTCTATATGTTTTATTTGCAAGTCAGGATAATTACTTTCTTATTATCTTGATGTTGCACCATTTCATGAAAAATCATTTTTTTTTAAATTATTAAAAATATTCTGTCCAGGATTTTATTAAACAACCCATTTTTAATATATTTTCTAATATACTAAATTTATTACAAAATAAATTTTATTCTATTATCAGCTCGGTAAAGGTCGATTTAGGTTCGGATCTTGGACTAAATGACTATCATGAATAAAACCCATTTATTCATTGTAATCATCGAGTTAAACTAGTAAGAGGATTGGAATATTTGAGGTACAAATATGAAAAACAGTCGTAGCTATCTGGGATATCGCGTCTAATTAATAAATACATTCAAAAAAACGCTTGCGCTTGCCTTACTCCGCTTTTTGTGTAACACTGACACGATCGACGAAACATTGTTTAAACGAATCACGATAATGCGAACACGCACAGTCATGTTGTTTACGCACGCACACATGATAAGAAATTATAAAATCGGCGGTTGTTGCGACATTCTTTTATGTGTAATAACGAATCTAAAAGCATTTATAGTTTTCTCCGAAGGCGATAATGGCGACAAGCTAGGCCTCCGTTGAAATTCGCAAACGTCAAATAAAAAAAAAGAAATCGCGCCGATCCGGCCGAGATAGGAGGCGGTCGTTGACCCCGCGCGCGCGCCTAGTCGCTCTCAGCGAACAGACTAAAAATAGCGCGTGACGTCATCTGTTTACCGCCGTAGGCAAGGTTACGCAGCGCAGCGGCTCGCTCGGGTTTACGCGCCTCGTGAGTAATGCGCGTGGAAGCCGAGTTCGATTACTTTTTTTCTTTGTCGCACTCGATACATGTTGCCAGTTGTAGGATATTTAGCGTCGCCTTTACGTTGGTTTTTTGAGAAAAAAAATTTAATGAATCCAACGTTGTAAATATCGCAGCAAAAACCATAATATTCTCTTTCGAAAAACGTTTTTTATGGAAATGAAATTTTTCGACAAGAATTTATTATACGTTAATAACTAATTAAGAATATCTCGTCCGCCGTCAAAAAGCGGACGGACTATAATTGAATGATAGGTGTGGATGTCAAAAAAGAATGTGTTGTATATTTCATTAGCCGAGCGTGAGATGTATGGCAATACTTAGTGGAAGGAATGAATGTGCTTGTATGAAAAAGTTATTAAAGAAAAAAAACGGCCAAGTTCCAGTCGGACTCGCGCACTAAAGTATTCATACCATTATCTATAAAAACGGCAAAAAAGCCATGACTGTTGTATGGGTGCCCAACATAAATATTTTTTATTCTATTTTTTGTTATAGCGGTGTAACAGAAATACATCATCAGTGAAAATTTCAAGTGTCTAACTATCACGGTTCATGAGATACAGCCTGGTGAAAGACGAACAGTCAGACAGACTGACAGATTGACAGACAGACCGACAGCGGAATCTTAGTAGCAGGGTCCCGTTTTACTTTCTGGGTACGGAACCCTAAAGAGCAGTCTCCTGAACATTTTATTCCACCCACACTGTCTACCCCTGTGGGATAATGCATCACCTGTGTGTGTATATGCATTATGCGTTTCAGCTGTGTGTATATTTCATACAATATAAATGAAATATAATATGTTATGGCGCATTTAAAGTTTATCATTTAAGATTGTAAATTAGTAAGAATGATAAAAACAACTTGTGAATCTCTTATTATTAAGTTTCATATATTATGTCTAGTTTATTCATGAAAGAATAAACTGAAAATGACAAAATAGGTTCGTGTAAGATGTTATTAGCTTCACAGCTCGTTGCACTTTTTGAGATGCGCGTCCATTCAAATCGTTTGAATTTCATTGAAGAAAAAAAAGAAGCAACTAAAACGACGGAGGAACTTTAAGAGTGACTTTCAGGGCCGCTATTAAGCTTAAAGAACGCGCTACTATCTCACGAGCCTTGGAGCTTAAATAACAAAAGGGGAAAAGAATTTTACTGTCGCCCTTTGTCTTATCTAGAATTTAATGGCGGCGATTGTTAAGGAGCGATTCATAGCATCCGCTCGGAATGCCGCCCATACACTTTTCTTGTACGACGTGATCTCCCTGCTCTAGCGTTTAGGTACAGTCGAAAATGTATGAAAGTGTATGTTGAAATATCATTGCAATAATTCATATATAAAATATTCTGAAACGGAAAATGTGATATTCGTTACATGACCAAATAAAAAAGCTCTGGGACTTAATTACATTCAAGCAATGAAAATATGTTTTGATATTGGACTTCTTTGAAATCGGACATAATAACAAACTGCAAAAAACAACATAAAAGGGACAAACAGTCAACGCATGGTATAATGTCAGTTTTCGGTTTTGATGAATGCTTTCCTGCAAATAATTGTCCCTCGTGCAGGATGGGTGGAAGCTGCAAGGGGAGCGGGAGGGGTGAGGAAGCGGGATGGGGCGGGGTGGGCTTTGACGTCACGAGCCTTGTGGTCGGCGGCTGCAACCCCAATCAGCTGACAGTTATGCTCGCTCCTCCGTCGAGTACGGACGACTGAGACGCTGCTAAATAAACATAGTTGTCAACGTGACCCCTTCGTGACTGGCAGTCTTTACATATTTTTGAAACATTATTTCGAAAATATGCACAGGTGATGATGATACGATGATGTGCTGGCATCGGGATTTAACACTCAGTTTGTTCGAAAATACCGAACTAAACACGAGCGCCCATACATTGGGCTATTACGGCTCATATTAAAAATAATCAGCGACAGAATCCGCAAACTAGTTTTATTAAAATGTAATAGACAAACAATAACTTTTATGACTTGAATAGTATTGTTCCAAAATATATATCGAACCCTCGAAACTCAGCACCCAAGCATATGACTGCAATAAAGTAGTTACCTTATACATACATATTTTTTACATTCACACTATGTAACGTACAATTGTGACGCAATTGTGAAAATGGTACCTAGCGCGAGCGATACCGGCGGCGCGCGACCGCCGTGATGTGACCCAATATATCCAAACGTGGACTAAACTCTCGTGCACGGATCAGAGGTCAATCACACCGGCGGCTTCGGCACATTTTAATATTGTCCATTGATATCTGCGTGAATAATTCATGAGACATAAAATCAGTGTAAAAGGCACGGACCGCCCGATCTGGATGGACAACGTGACGTGTGAATACGTGGCTAAATCTTCTTAAACGTTGGAACTATAAACTTACAAAAAAAGATAGGCATAATTTCTTAAATTTATTCGTGATTGTGTGGTATCAAGATGGGCGTCGCGCACGTAATCACTTGTGAATAAAGTGAAGATTTGGAAATCCTCGTTTCACGCCTATCCCCCTCATAATAATATGTATATCGAAATATATTAAATTATTCCCCTAATATTATTAATTTTATAAACTCATAATATTAGTATTTATAAACTCCAAAAAAATTTTTATGAATAAACTCGTTCCTGACATGCAGTCCGTTTGGAAATGTGTATTTTATTCATTTGCGCTTAAAATCTGACAAAATTCGAAAGGGAATGCCTGATTACGTGTTCGCAGCGATGCTGAAAGAGGCAATTTAATTTTAAACTTCACGTGCTAGCGCGAGACTCCCGAGCGAAGAACATTTCACTAGTTAACCTAACGGACACACACGCACAAGCATGCTCATACTCGTACACACGAATTTGTCTTCAGCAGACACACACATAGTGCGTTGTGTAAACGGCCATTCCGGTAATCCAGCACCACGCTACAAAAGGCAATCTCATCACAATATCCAATAATATAGTACAGACTAATACTTATCACCACAAGTGAATTTAGGTTGCCTAGACTAGTTTAGAAGAAGACCCGATTCAGTCTACTCGTAGTGGATTGTTTGTTTGTTACGAGAAATTTAATAAAATAACTAGTACTAAAAATATTAGTTAAAGTTAAAACGGTAGATTTGGAAATCTTAACAAAATCAACAGACAAATAATAGAAGCAAACCTAATCTTTGTACTAATAAGATATAACAATACCAGAGCAAGTGTATTGCCAAGAGCATAACCACAATGTATACTAGTATAGCCGTTTCAATGAATTTTTAATGAACACACACATAGCGCCAACACTTACTCTGAGAACCACGGCCTTCACTTAAGACATTATATATATTATATATATATATATATATATATATATATATATATATATATATATATATATATATATATATATATTCTGAATGCTTGTTTTCTTTAAAAGATCGATGACGCAAAGCTTTTACCTATTGATAACATGACATTTATTACTTCCTATATACCTTTTCATATACGAAGCCAGTCGTGCAACTTGAGCGGTAGATTTGAGCAATGTTAAATGATTACCATTCCTTGTTTCGAAAAATAGAACCGAATAGGTACGTTATTATTATGTATCAAGTTTTAACCTAGGTAAAAAGAGACCATGTAGCATTTTCGAAATAGAGGTAGCGTGTATGTGACTCCTTTGTACAGAGAGCATTAGGGTATAGGCCACCACGCGACCCCCCTGCGGCTTGGCAGACTTTATATATCTTTGAACTATTATTTCTAAAATAAGCAGCTTTCATAGCGATGTTGTGCTGGCACCGGGATTTTCACTCAGGTTGCTAGAGTATATTGAATTAAAAGAGAGCATCCAGAAATTGAACTACCACGTCTTATCATGCAGTGGATACTAGTAAAATATCCAATGGCGGATTTTATGTCGATTATCATATTGTCTTTGAAAACTCTATTGGAACAACCAAATCAGAAATGAACGATCATTTTAAGGCCTTTTTGATTTTGTACGAAGTACAATCAATACATCTGACGATATGGATGTATAAAATCTCCACAAAAGACCAGTTTTATTGTGTCACAAAAATTAACAATTTCATAATGTTCGTTGTCTGTGACAAATTACAACACATTCAAAAACACTCGTTGAGTGTACAATAAAGTAATAATGTGATCCATCAATTGAACGCTTTCACGGTTGGTGTATTCGAATTGAAGCACGCATGGCAACAGCCCAGCGGCAGAGCGCTCTAGCTCCTATCGCATGGCATCACTTGACAGCGCAATTTAACCCCGGACAAGGCTATTGTCATATAATATTTTTATAATTAACAAGTCGCCCGCCACCGCTTCGTCTTGTGGCCAATGATTTTTTTTTATTACAGAAAATAAACCACGTGATCGTACTAAAAAACGGTGACAAGCGGAACTCCTAAATTGACAGTATTTAAAATCTGATTTAAAAAAAAAGAAGAAAAAAAATCTATTGTAATTTACGGTATTTTACTGCATAGTAAGAATAATTATTAATATTGAGCTGAGTTACCGGAGGTAAGCATTTATTAAATTTTTTTTTAAATCTGACTTCGTAAGATCATCGCGTTAAGGCGTAACAAATTCGAGTCTTATAACATTATTCTAAATTCATTTGCATTAATCGTTATTATAAAGGCGTGTTCACGTTACCACTTCGGGTTGACATGCTGACAGAGTTGTCGTATATTAAACACTGAATAGCCTGTTAAAACGCCATTACGTATTGTATGTCATGTCTCCGACACGAGAAACCTGAAGTGGGGAAGATTAACGGCTCGCGGGCATGGAACTAGCCGGTGTGTGGAAACGTCGCGCCGGTGCAACTGGAGTTGCGAGGTTACTCTAGCATACAATTAGTCATTCATAAGTTTTACCCTTTTTACTAACCGAGAACCATTATATGGTTTGGAAGCTACGAGCAGTAAGCTCCGCGACCCCTGTAAGTTAGTTGTATAGAAACAAATTTAAATTTTACTTTTTACAGTTAGTCAATTTGATACATAATTAGTTAGTTGCGTTAAGCAGCAAACACCGATTTTAAATTGAAAATATCATCACGCTGAGCATTGCATACTTATTGTTTTTTTTAACATTTGCACTCACTTGAATTTGTTGCCAAGAATTTAATCTTACTTTCTTTTTAATCTTACTTCAGCACAAATTTTCAAACCCAAATAAGATTAACGATTCTTAAGTGGGTATCATTCGAAGCAACGATCCACGCTATTATTGCCTATTTAGATGTGCTGTAAAATTATACCATGGAAGTATCATTCCATAATACGCATTTTACTGTGTCCATACATGTACATGAGGCTAAAATGACATTCGATAGAGTAAAGTCGGAATCCCTGACGCCCCTTGAACCAATCCACGCAAATAACCAGCAAAGCATTCGCAGCAAAAAATTCCCATACCATTCCCAATAGCTGTTCCTACATATGTACGCGTTCGTATAAATGTAGTTTTTGTTTCATTGTGATATCGTCCGTGGAGCGCGTCGTTTGTGCGGTAATTAATTTAAAAAAAAGCTCCGAACATTCACATATCCGGGTGCAATTGATTTGAATAAATAAATTGCACGCTATTCACAACAAATGCGCGGGAAAGGCACTGTTAATTTGTAGGTTCGTTCGTACCGTGAGGCTTCAAGGCGAAATTAATTCATCATGATCACGGTATTTTCACAACCTTTTCCAACAATGACAAAATGTTTTACGACGATCGCTCATACACGTTTCCGTAGAGTTTATGCCTTCACGCGTATTTTAGTGCAATAAAGAGATTGATTCGCTCTGCCCCCGCATCCCCTTCCGTGTTTATCTCATAGGCATTACGTGGGCTTAGGGGTAGTTCAGGTGCGCGAGTGCCTCCGTGCAATACTTACGATACATTGGCGTATCCGACACAATATGTCTCAGTGGCAGATAAACTGTTCGTAGATTTGTCCTGGTACCACAATCAAAATATACAGAGAAGGTCAAATACGTTGATATGTTATAAACGAGTTACATATATTCCTGATCAGTCTTTTTGTCGTGTCCAGCTGATTGACAAAGCCTTATTACATGACGAAGGGAGGCCGTGCACACACGAATGATAACGTGGTGAATTGTCAACGGAGCATCTGATCGTTAAAAGATCGACGTTGATCAGTTTCGAAATATATGAAGAAAAGTAAATAACTGCATAGCAAAATCCTAATCATAGAGCTCAGAAAGGGTAATTTAAATAGGCCCACTTTATTAAAAGGCGACAACGCATCTGCAATCCTACGGGTGTTGCGAATGTCCATGGGCGGCGGTTGTCACTTAATAATATGAAATAAGGTGAACCGCCAGCTCGCTTGCCACCATCTTACATAAAAAAGAAGAATAAAAAATGCGGTGCAGAATTTGAAGATGGTAAACGGCTCACTTGAACTCTGTCCATTAATTAAAGGGGCACTCTTCGCGGGGAGTGGGCGTGAGGCGTGGGGCCATCGGGCAGTGGACGGCGCGACGTAACGGGCCGCGCCAAAGTAAACAATTATAAAAGCATTGTTCGTGCGGTCGTTCACCCGCGCCTATTACCGAATCGCGCCGCGTGCCTGCGTATCGCCTGCGTGTGGCGACACCCGCCGCCGTCAACAGCCGGCCCGCTGGCTACTCGCCTGCCAGACTGGCCAGCCAGCCGCGGCAGCCAGCGCAGC